CCCCTCGCCCGGCCGGCTCCCAGCCTCCCAGCGGCTCCCTTTGCTCCTGGGTGGCTCAGCAGCCGGGAAGGCCAGCGCCCCTGTGAGCTGCGCTCGCGTGAGTGCTTCTGACACATTTAGAAGCGCGCACAGGGGTTCAAGACAGGCCTGCGTGGTGAGCTGCCCGCTGACTGGGCCTACCGGGAAAACTGAGCTCGTCGTCGTTTCTTTTCTATCATCTTTTTTCTTCCTTGGAAAGTGGATTTATGAACTGGCCTTGCAGCTGAGCACTTAAAGGAGCCCACACAGTGCCGCCGGCCTGAATGTTTACGTCCGTGCATGTCCTCTCGGGCCTCCTTTAACCCTCCGGCCCTCCTGCTGCCCTTGGCCGTAACTCTAATCCCCTTCGTTGTAAAGGCTGGTGCTCACCCTTGAAGCTGAAATGTTGTGAAGAGAAAAGCAGAGCACACGGAAATGACGAGTTTGTACGAGGCTCTCCTGGAGATTGAGGTTTCATATAACTAAGCTGGTTTTTCATCTAACGGGGAAGTGGTTGTGCTTGGGGATTTCCCTGCTGAATGTCTGTAACTGCAGCGCAGTAAAAGCGACAACCACTGACCCCCTCTCCCATCCCTCTGTAGTGAAAACACTGTTCAACCCAGCTCCTGCCACCGCGGACCTGGACCCCCGCTTCTACACTCTCTCAGATGTGTTCTGCTGCAATGAAAGTGAGGTAAGGAGAGACGGTTTTGCTCATTCCATGAGAAACCAAAGACTTCCATGCAAGTGGATGAAGCAAACAAGCAGGACTAATCACATCAGCCTGATTGCATGTGAATTCCTGGGCCCAGTGAAAATAGACTTTTCAGTTGACAGTGGAGAAGGAAATTAGTGAGTCCTGGGGAGGGGGGAGGATTCCCTGAGTCATCCCCATAATACCGGATTTATCAAACCTCAGCTGATTCTAGTGCCCTCCCCGCCCTCACACTATTGGTGTTTTGTTTTCCTTTTTAATTATCCCATATTCTATGAGCCAATTAGTATTAGAGTTGCCAGATTTATCAAATAAAAATATAGGACGCCCAGTTAAGTTTGAATTTCAGATAAGCATACTAAATGTACTTACACTATAAAATTATTTGTTGTTTATCTGAAATTCCAATTTAACTGGGCGTCCTGTATTTGATCTAGCAATCCTGATACCAGACAACCCCTGGTGCATTTACTGGGAACATCCTGTGACTGCACTGGTGGACAGACATGTTTTCCTTCGGTGCCATAGGAAGAAGACCTTGAGGCCACTCCATTCAGGAATATATTCATATTGTCCCATTCATTCTGAAGCTTTTTAAGAAGGCAATTTTAATAGTTCTTCCTTTCATAGGTTTTAGACCAGAGATAGTTTTAGACCAGAGCTCTCACCCACATTGGGAGGCAGGACATACATACTATACAATGCAACATGCAGAGAGACAAAGTTAGTAATTAATGAACTATGCTGTAATTTTCCATTTGGTTTGAAGGCTGAATGATGGTATCTAGGATTTCTTAACCCACCTCTTTGTTAATTTCACCTCTTAGAATATAAAGTAAGTAAGAAAGAAGACTGCCAGGGGAAACTAATTTGAACAACCACAGCATACTACGCAATATTTTTGAGCAACACCAGGGCCAGGCTTTGTATTAGGAAAAAGGAACTGTGGGAGATAGCGGCCCTTGCACAATAAGAGGTTAGATCACCCTCAGCTGCCAAACTGCCTTAGACCTCCCTGCCAGGTACCACAGAGTCTTTGCTTATTCTCGAGGCACTAATCACCGCGCACGTTACTTGATATGCCTGCATTCTCCGCTAAATTCCTGCTCCTGTGAGTACAGCTATGCCTGTCTTAGTCACTGTTGTATCTCCAGTGGCTATGCCCATGTGTGTAGTTATCTACTGCTGCACAATCAACTACCCCAAAATTTAGTGGTTTACAGCAGTAATTATTTATTGTCACTCACGGATTCTGTGCATCAGGAATCGGCACAGGGCACAGGGCACATGGCTTGTCTCCTGCACGATATCTGGGGCCTGGAAGACTAAAAGGCTGAGAGCTGGAATCATCTGAAGCCTCCTTCACTCACATGCTTGCTACCTGATGCTGGCTGTTGGCAGAACACTTACCTATGGCCTCTCCCTGCAACCTGGGCTTCCTCACAATATGGAAGCTGGGTTTCAAGATGAGAGAGAGAGAAAGAGATGAAGACCAATGAAAAACTTTTAAAAACAAAAAAGAAAGTGACCTCAAAGCATAACCAACTCAGAGTGAAAGGGTCTATTGAAAAAAAGATGGTAAGGGAGGACATGTGCAAGTTAATGAAACCTGTGCTACTAGGAAAACTGAAGCCCAGAATGGACAGACACTGTGGGGTGATTTATAGGCAACAAACAGGGTTAATCTGGACATAATCAGAGCAAGCACCCGAAGAGATAGTACATGGTTAAATTGTAATACCAAAAAATCAGAATTTGGTTATAAACTTTTTGAGTCAGAAAGTATCATATAATTAATTCATCTAGTCCAGTGATTTTTCCACCACCTATTCAGAACCATAGAGGTTCCTCAGAGATGCTGGAGGGGTGCCTAGGGGATGATGAAGCAGAGCTACAGCCCTTCACCCCGACTTCAGCCAGAGACCTTTTTATATTTGGAGAGAACCACTGATCCTGCACAAGCCCCTCCTTTTACAAATCATACATAACTGGGAAAGGTCATTTAGTAAGTAGCGGAGGCCTGAATGTCATGGCACTGCTTTTTCTGCTGCATATCAGTGCCTCTCCTACTCTGCTTCTATCTTCTCTAGCAAAAACAGAGAGCCCTGGCCGGCCTGGCTCAGTGGTTAGAGAGTCGGCCCATAGACCAAGGGGTCACGGGGTCGATTCCAGGCAAGAGCACATACCTGCAGGTTCCCCACCCCATTTGGGGCACTTGTAGAAGACAACTGATCGATGTGTATCTCTCACATCAATGTTTCTCTCTCTCCCCTTCCCTCCCTTCCACTTTCTCTAAAAATCAATGGAAAAAAAATATCCTCCAGTGAAAATTAACCAAAAAAAACACCAAAAAATGGTGCGTAAACACGGAACGCTGCAACTAGTAATATGAGAAAGGCATTATGGCCCAAGAGAGGCCTAGAGAAACTATACCCTTACATGTGAAATTCACAGGTATGATTTATATCTTCAAAATCATTGGCAGTGGCTCCTTCCTTTCTCCTTTCCTCCCTCCCCCTTTCCTTTCTTTATTTTGTAGGATTCTCTTTGTTCCCTTACCTCTTGATTATGAAAACTGTTGTACATACACACAGAAAAGCTGAAAGAGCAATACAATGACTACTCATATACTCTTCACCTAAACAGTTGTTAACATTTTGCTACATTTATTTTTCTGAGCTAGTGTCTATCAAAGTTCTCCATTGCATCGGTGGTTGTGCAAAATAAGGGAGACATTTTCTAGAAAAACAAATCTAATGTGGAAGTGGACCCCGTTTTCTTTCCTCAGCACTTTCCTTTCACTGTGTGCATTCCAGGCGGAGATTCTAACCGGCCTCGCGGTCAGCGGCCCGGCCGGCGCCGGGAAGGCCGCACTGGTGCTCGTGGAAAGGGGCTGCCAGGTCGTAATCATCACCTTGGGCGCTGCCGGATGTGTGATGCTATCACAGTCAGAGCCTGTTCCAAAGTACATTCCCACAGAGACAGTCAAGGCTGTGGATACCACGGTAGGTTTTAAATTTCACAATTGGTTTTGGCCCTTGAAGTCATCGTTTAGTTACTAGGATGCTGCACTCCAATTTTTGGATAATGAAGTAACAGCTCCAGGAGGTGATATGGTAGAAAAGAAACACAACCGGGCAGGAGAACCATATCCTAATCCCTCTCCAACCCACTAGAACTTTCTACAAGTCACTTAAGCTCTCTGAGCCTCAGTTTTCTCATCATAAAATTGGAATATCAGTAAAATTATACCTGTACTACCAATATTCATTCATTTATTCAATAAATATTTATTGAATACCTATTATATGCCAGTAAATATTAGGTCCTGGGCAGGGGTGAAAAGGAAACAAGTTGAGAAAAAGGCTCTGGGCTCCTCTACAGCTAGGGGAACAAAAGCGATCTCCTTATGGCCTCGACTTCAGAAGAGCTGACTAGAAAAGCACGTGTCAGGAACAAGAGACTAGATAAAGAATAAAAAGTTTAGAATTTTTATTTATAAGAAACTGCTGTATAATTATTTATAAAATGATTTGGTTTTTATGCTTAAAAAAGACTTTAAAATATGGGTCATTCATCAAAAAAGAAGCCTAAGAGGACCTGATGAAGTTTTGGATATGAATGTGCTTTGAAAAATAGATGTGTACAAGGCAGGCCTTTATAACGTGAAATTACATTGTCACTGCCTTTCAGATGTGCTTTGTCGGGCATGTGATAAATTGTACACAGCTGTTCTCTTCATATTTAATCATTTGTGAAACCATTAGTTTTCTGGTTTTGTCAAGATGGACAGTAACCTGAATTTGAAAGGTTCCTTACTAGTTCTTAAATTGATCCTGCATTAGACTAAAACTAATCCAGGTCCTGAACTAAAGCAGAAGAGTTTCATCTTCTCTCGCTAAGAATGAAACGAAGGGTCCCGTGAAGACGCTGGGCCTGTGGGTTCCCAGCAGCAGCTGAGACTCGGCTTCAGTATCTGTGTCAGGCATGACTCCTTTTGCTCAGCAGCCCCTGAGCACAATGCCAATAGGCTTACATAGGAAAAGGGATTTACTTGGTGCATATAATTAGAAAGTTCGAGAGTAGGGCAGAATGCAGAGTCTAAGCCACGTCACTGGCACTCGCTCACTCTCTCCCTGTCGGCTCCGCTTGCTTTGCAGTGGGCTTTGGGCTCAGGCAGGCCCCTCCGGGTGAGGGTCCCTGGCAGCTTCCTGCCCACACTGTGCCCCACAACATGTCCCCATCTCTGGTGTCAAATAAAAAATCAAGGAACTCTTATCAGAGGATGGGAAGTGGATGCTGGTCAAACAAAACCACCCAAGCCTAGGGGGCACTGGTGTAGAAGTGCACTGCTTGGGCCTAGGACTAAATGATGAAGAAACCCCTCTGGGAAGTGTTCAAATTCAAATCAGTGGTAATACTCCTCAGAGTAATTTCCTGTAGAAGGATTAGATTTCGTAGATCACGATGGATGACAACTTTGAGCATCTTAAATACAGCAATGCACACGAAGGAAGTTTTCACTTTGTTTGTGCCCCTTCATCTGGTTTCTTAGCACTTGCAGTTAGTGTTTAGGTTTCGGAAACATGAAACACAGTGAGAGTTCAGAGAAGGAAGAGATTGCTTAATGCTCAGAGGCAGGAGATAGAAAACGGGATCAGGAAGATCAGGGCCCTGGATCAGGATCAGCAAGTCTTTCCTATAAAGGGCTGGATTGTAAAGTCTGAGGCTTCACGGGCTGTGTCACAACTACCAACTTTCGTGCCATGGTAGCAAGAGGGAACCAATAAACAACTCTGTGTGCTATCGGAAGTAAGCCGGTATTTAGTTATAACTGGGTTGTTTTCAATTAAGGTGTTCATTGGAATCACCAGTGCAGTCACTGGGACAAGAATAACATTTTTTTACAAACACTAAAATAAACAAGGGAATTAAAATGGTCCACTAGAAAATATCTAACACAAAAGATACAGTAATGAAAGAACAGAGCAGTGAAGAAGCTACTGGAAGGTAAGCTATTGTAAACTGAGTGATAAAACTAAGGCAGCCAAAGATATGGGATCTAGGCAGCAGGCAATGCAACGCAGGAGAGGAGCCAGGCATGATGCGGTCAAGGGTGATGAAGGAAGCTCCCTCCGGGACAGCGGCTGTGCAGCAAGCCCATGGCCATTCAGTCCGGATGAGGGCAGGTGAGTGCAGGGCTCTGGGAGAACTGTCTCCCAGAAAAAACAAATAAAGGTCAGGAAGAAATAGTGCAATATTCATGTTTGAATATGCCCAGAGATTTTTAGTTTTCTTGCAGAATTTGAGAATGAAGTAGTAATTAATATGAAGAGAAAACTGAGGGCATTTTTTAAAAGAGGCAAATTTTTTCCTCTAGATCATTAAGAGTCTAAGGGGAAAAGGCATGATTAAGCAAATATAATCTTAGTACACCACATGACTATGAATTCATAGTCATAACAATGTAAGGGCCAATTATTGATTTAACCAAAAATGGAGATTATAATCATATTGTGAAGATTGAAAGAAAAAGTGAGTGTGTATTTGTGTGTCATTGGGGGAAGATAAGAGAACTAAATGCTCATCTTCCATAGTTGGAAGTCAAGAGATAATATCCAAAACCGACTTTTAAAATAACGGTATAAAGCCTATTACCAGAAATAGAAGATAAATACCAGAAGAAACCACTAAAAGAATTTGAATTATTTGCCTCATGAAAATGGTTGTGGAGAGAGATGGGACATTTACACTTTAAGTCTTGTCTTTTTAAACTGTGTCTGTGGATGGCTCTGGTTCTCTTTAAGTAACAAAACACAATGAGATACCATGTCATACCCACTAGGATGGCTGTAATCAAAATTGGTAATAACAAGTGCTAACTAGGATGTGGAGAAACTGGAGCCTGCAGACAATGCTGGTAGGAATGTAAAATGGTGTAGCCACTATGGAAAACAGTCTAGGAAAGCTTCAAGAAGTTAAATTTAGAGTTAGTTACAATATGACCCAGCAATTCTACTCCTAGCTATATACCCAAGAGAAATGAAAACATATGTCCACACAAAAACCTATACATGAATATTCATAGCAGCATTATTCATAATAGACCAAAACTGGAAACAACCCAAATTTTCATCAACAGATGAATGAAAAAACAAATTGTGGTATATACTGTGGGGGAGTAAGAAAATTTCTTCTACCCGTCTAGGTTCCTCTGGCTGGTCTAATAATTAAATCAACCCGAGACAGAGTAGCAAGAGAAAAGAACCAAAATTAATTACATATGTATGGGAACCCCACATACATGAGTGAGTCAGAGACCCCATATACACGAGAGGTTCCAAGACGGAGAGGTAAAATGAGGTACATACAGGCTGAGAATGAGGTAAGCACCTCAGGGCTGCAGAGGGGAGGAAGGTCATTTGCAGGATGATGCTCAGTAATTAGAAGTTTGCCCTGCCCTATAGATAAGTCACAAAAAGTTATTTCTGATAACTCTTATTATGGGCAAGGCCCCAAATTTAAATTCTTTAAGGAAGAGATAAAATTTTCTCATGAGCCCACAGGGTCTTGATTGCCTTCAGCTCAAAAAAATTCACATGCCCAAGTGGCACATCTAGGGAGGCCTGTTCTGAACACTTTCAGTACATATAATAGAATGTTGTTCAGCCATAGAAAGGAATACTGATACATGCTACAGCATGGATGAACATCCAAACACTATGCTAAGTGAAAGAAGCCAGACATACAAGGCCACATATTATATGCTTCCATTCGTATGAAATATCCAGAATAGGTAAATCTATAGAAACAAAGTAGATTGACGGTTGCCAGTGTCTGGGGAGAGGGGATAATGGACAGTGACTGCTGATGGTACAGTGTCCCTCTGTGGGGTGATGAAAATGTCCTGGGGTGGTGACGTTTGCACAGTCTTGTGGATATATTAAACACCACTGAATTGTGTACTTTTAAAGGGTGATTTTTATGGTATATGAATGATATCTCAATTTAGAAGAAAAAAGTAAAAAAAAAAAAAATAACAGAGCAATCTATCTAGGAACCTCCCTAAAGAATGGGTACTCTGAGGGGAGGAATCTTCCATGTAATTGCCCTGCTGAACCTACTGAACGGGCTCTCAGTGTCCCCCCAGTAGAGTGGAGGTGATGCAGGAAAAAAGGGTAGTTATTTTCTGGGTGTAGAATCTCCCTCAGCCCTTATTTCTCACCCAGCACTCTCATTATTAAAATTCTTGCCTGCTCTGCACACAACCGTGCAGCCTCTTCATAAGTCTGAAAAAGAGGAGATAATTCCCACGGGGAGGTGAGGAACTCCCAGGGAGGCATTTTCTTCTGAACAAATGTCTCCTTCACTTTTCTGTCAAGAGGGTACTACCTGCTCTCAGTCCCTTTGGAACCTTCTTGCTTTTCCCCTCCTAATCCCTTACCATATACACATTTTTAAAAATCATGTTGCGCAGCCTAAATATATGCAATTTTTATTTGCCAATCATACCTCAATAAAGCTGGAAAAATTAAATAAATAAGGAAATCAGGATGGGATGGACGGTGGAAACATCTTCGGTTGGCTGGCACCTGGTCCACTGGAGGCAGACGCCTGCCCTAGGAGCCGCTCCCGTCCTCTGCCGGTGCTTCTGCAGACAGCTATATTCAGTCTCCTCGGTGTTCATAGTTGGATGTATCACTTCTATTTTTACATCTGTTCTCCCGTCGTACTAGAGTGAGATGGTGGCAGTAGCTGCAGATGTCCTCAACTCAGTTTGGAAGACATGACAGATGTGTCTCTTCCCATCTCTGTGTCGTCTGAATCTCAGCCTCAAAATGACGGCACTTATGGCCTCACTCCAGTCCTTCCAACCTGAGGGTAGGGGCTTTGCCATCTTGCATTCATGGTTGCACAGAATAATCACTTCATAGTGGGAGCTACACAGATTTAAGCATGGTAATATTTTAAGGTTATTGCACTAGTGTGAAATGTCTGTCTATCT